ACAAGTATATAAGTGAATGAAAAAGGTTGTATGAGTAACGTGATATGATTATGAGCAATAGTTTGTGCTCGAAACTTGGTTGTCAGTTAATGTTACTGTATAACACTGTGTGATTTATCAGAATAAAATCTTATTCATGATGGAGTTATGCTCTACCACAGTGCCCAAGTTTTATTATTATTATATTATTGTTCTCTTGGGTTCCTAGTGGAACATAGGGCTTCAGCTGCACGTCTTCACTTGCTTCTGTCTTTTGCTGTACTTTTTACTTACATCCATGTTAGTCCATACTGTTTCAACTCCTCTTCACACGATCTCTTCCATGTAACCCTTGCACTGACGTCCCACTCGTCGCTTCCTTTTCGGGTTCGACTCGAGCAATGGCCTGACGCGCGCGCGATGTCACCTAGCGGCCTCCCCAGCGACTGTCCAATCCATCTCAACTTTCTCCTGCATATTTGTTGGGCGACTGGTTCTTGTTTTGTTTGTTCCCATGGTTTCTTATTGGTGATTGTTTCCAGCCATCTAAGTTTCATACTTATATCAATTTTTGAAAGGAGTCACTTGTAATTATAATCTAGAGCAAGACCATTACTTATTTTAAGAAACACCAACGAACTAACTGTTTCCAGTAGTTCCTCATCTCATCTAACTCGTGATTTATGCTGAACTAAATCAAATATCCGAGAACCAACACTTGAAAACAGCCAGTAACTACCTGTCAATAGGTCAGCTGTACATCAAGTACAGTAAGATGCAAAATCAGTAATCCATTGACCAAACGTATTTGCAGATGCACTGTCGTGCTTGTGTTTTTTACTTACAGAAACAATATAAGAAGGATGGAGGAAACTGATACCTCAGATGAATAAACAGAACTGCAGATATCAGGGTAGATTGCTGAAAAATGTCGAGCCGTATTATTCTACGGCGATACGTTTTCATTTCACTCTGTTTTCTGCCATTTATCAACCCATAGCTCAGCTTATCGTTTTCCATCCAGATTTCCCTAGACATTCCTGAGCGTTAGGTCACTCGATAGCTTTCTCGGCGTGTGTGTAACCGAATTTCGTTTTCTTCAGCTAATTTGTTAGGTAATATGTTCTTCGTAGCCTTGGTGCCACAGATCCCTGCTGCTTATCCTTTCCAACCATCCGATCTTCAGTATGGAAGATAAAATAGGCAGTTGTTGATGAAACTTGGCGACAGCCTGTTGCAAGTGCTTTCCTTTCGAGTCAAATCACTGAATTGACAATAATATCACCAATTTGGATGTTCTTCTGCATGTTGAGATTTCATGACTTTGGCATTCTCATCCGTGTCACATGTAGTTAGAGTAACGCTGCTGCAAAACATTGATTGGTGCTTACGTCGTTGCTGGTCAAGCCTCTTTATTCCCTCCGTCTTCTCTATGTTCCTTTGAATGCTTGTCTTCAACGCCTATTTTGTCAAATTATTAGTTTTACATGCAGGTTTTTGAGTTTGTAAGAAATTAAACGTAAACAATTTGAGAAATTCAGATATTACAGAGTCTTTTCGTCAGTCTCTTGAATAATCCAGTCGACTACAGCCGGCAGTTCCAGCAGCATCATTTCGAACTTAATAATTCTGTTGACTGAAGCAATCGATAAACAATGTTATATATGTCCTATGTGATGACTGAAGGTCGTAATATCTGAGCCAGTCACCTTTAAGGTAGTAAAATACCGCTCAACTAGCTAAGCTCTTGTACCCGGCTGCTAGTCAGAATGCCGTTTACAACAGTCACGATAAGTAATAACAAGTGATTGCATAATATGTGCTACTGTTCATCTGTTGTCGGAATAACTGTCTGGCTAGGTATCCTGCTGTGAAATACCATGATCACCTCTGATGGTTACTCTCAATTCTTACAAATCTCAGTGTATGGGATACCCTCTAAGAAGACCACTGAGGGATGTGGAGCTTCAGGTGTACCCAGTGGTGAGAAATCGAATGGGGAACGAAAATCTCGGTGTCACTTTGAGGCTGATATTGAGGAGATCATATGACAAAGGAGCTTAAAGTTCATAAGCAGTCGTGAAACCAACCAAAAAAAAGGAATAGAGAGAAAACAATCAAACAGAGATGTGCTGTATGATGCCCTGTATTCCACTTGCAACCCCAAAAGAAATAACAATAATTAAAACATTTTGCCAGTTCCATATCAAACATCTTCTTGAATGTCCATTACCGACAAATATTTGAAAATCAAACGACTACAAAATCCTTGCCCGTAATTTTCTCATCTCTTTGATTTACATTCTTTATGAGTATGTGGTAAGATGGTATTGAGAAGACTATTCAACCATTTATCAATTCACATTAATCGATCTGATCTATCATCAGCAACACAAAAGGGTCATTTAAAAAACGTATCTTGACTGATAGATAATTTGAACGTTATTCATAATTAGTGATATTATTAATAATAGCACGATTTAATCTCATGTCAGTAAATGAATAATGGTAATGTTCTTAAAGCAGACGAAATTAACTCATTTTTAATTTTTATAAAATTGAAATAAATCATGTCATTGTGTTCAAAAATCAATAAACCTTATCGATTTTTTGTCCATTTTTGTTGCCGTCATTAAAAATTCCATTTATTTTTGTCAGGAAGACATTTTGAATAACGTCGCCTATTTCAGTACTTATTCGACAGTGGAATAAATATTAAGCGGTTGTTACTTTTACAGATAACGTATTCAAGAACTAACATTTTTGTGAAAGTACTCGAACTATAAGACAGTTACTTTTTACATTGAATTTGTTTTAGAATCTTATAAAATGATGGTGTTGGATTGCTTGTTTTGAAGTTTTTCTAGCGTGCATGCGATCTTCATCGATCCAATGACGTCAGTTTTTCCTCTTTTCTCATAAATCCACTTGTTTCGTTCTGAGTATTACGTCTTATTCTCTGCCTTCCTCTTTATCTGACGTCATGTTCATCCATAGGCTGTCGTCTCCCCATCACATGATCTCCTTCATGTCAGCTTCACTGTTACTCCCGAGTCGTTGTTTTATATGAGGGTTCCACTTCATCGTTTGCTTATCGTACGGTCTTAGCAGTGTGTATCCGATCCCTCTTCATTATCTTCGTCATAGTTGATGGGCAATAGGTTCCCACCTATTAGGTCGTTCTTAGAGTTCCCTGTTGCTATTTCTTTTCAGTCATTTAATCTTCACTATGAACCGGAGAAGGTGACTTTGCATTAAAGTCTTCAGTAGCCTGTTGGAAACGTTCTTTGTTACGTGCCAAGTTTAAAATCTATATGAGGGAAATGATTAATTTAAAATCGATTTTTGTTGTTTATGTTGAGTACACTAGATTTGTAAACTGATTTCTGAATGATGGAGGTGTGTTTCGTCCCTCCGATTCTAATTTTAAATCCCTTATCCGCTCCGCTGCCTTCATTTACAACGATGCTGCCTAGATCAACGAAGGAAACCACCTCTTTCAAATTCCACTGGTAGGGATCGGTGTGTGTGCGTCTTGTTGTTTGATGGTTATTTTCATCACCTCTATCTTTTCCATGTTCACCTGAATGTTTGTCTGCATTAGCTGTTATTTCCTCTTTTTTGTCTCTACCTGTAGGTCTTCGAGTTTGTTTAACACTAGATGTAGTTCGTGAAGTGTAGATCTTCTCGGATCTTCCTATCGTTCTGACCTATTCCTGTCTTCTTACTCCCCACTCACGGTCTTCCGCATGATCGAGTCCACCACAATTAGGAATATGATTGTTGATTTCAGACAGTGACCTTGTATTACTCCGGTTTTCACTCCAATGAATTATCTCAGTTTTCTGTGCCACCGTCAAATGGCTGTTGAGTGAAGCTGGTGAGGATTCGAAGCACTATATGGTGGTGAAGTAGTCTCCAAATCATTTCACAGCCAACTTGATTGAAGGCAGTTTCAAAGTCGGTAAAGTTGAGGTGGAGGCTTGGCGGACATTCTATGCTCTGTTCAATGATGGTGCTTAGAGTGTCTATTTGTTCCACACACGATATTTTTTTGCTGAATCCATTTTTTTCTGGAAAGAGTTCTGCATCTATTGCATCCTCTTCAGGATGACGCGACTTATTTTTTTCTACTTGGCGCGGAAAGAAGCATGATTCAGCGACACTTCTTGCAGAGGCCCAAGCTGCTGGATTTTAGCACGCTGTAGTCTTTGTCATTTGCCCTCACGACTACCCATAAGCTTCTCACATGACCTCTTTAACATCACCCTTACACCTAACTCGTCGTTTTGTATTCGAGTTCAACTCATGGTACTATCTGGCGTGTAGCCATCGCCTCCCTCGACGAGCAATGTTAGCGGATGTAGGGTCAGGCTGGAAAAAAGCTAGCGGTGGTCAAACGAAAACTTAGCACCAGTCAATGAAATCCACAACAGTTGGTCCAAGCCACGTAGGAAGGTGTAGACTTCCAGGCTGGGGTCGTCGGGACGGTAAAAATCTATGGTTGGAAACAATTGGTGACATGGCTCAAAATCGTTCTCAGTGGCTAACGCAGATGCATCCACTCCTTGTGACTTATGATCTCCAATGGAACTGTTTTTTTTTTTTTATTACTCCTTTGTCTCACATCTCTGCTCACTGTTTCTATTATGCTTTTCTTGTACTTTCTTCTCTTGCTTCGCGTGCTACACGGAGTGTGGCGACTTGAACTTCCGCACATTTGTGCAAAGTTCTGTGTCAAAAACAGATATACAGACAGACAGACTGGCGTGTAGCATTGACTTCATTCTCATTTTCTTCTGCATATTTACTGAGCGACAGGTTCTTGCTCGGCTGGCTAGTTCTAAAAATGCCTTGCTGATTATGATTTCTCGCCTGCCGGTGAAGTTCAGCTTCAGTTGAAGGCAACTTCAATACATTACACTGACTTGTTATTCTGTTCCTTTCAAAACACAAACTTTAATTGTTTGTTTTATTTTCTTATTACTATTATATTATAGTAAGAAAATACTACACACAACATGGATGCAGAGATTACGGAAAAATCGGAATTTGACGTAGCAGTTAAACGAAAGCCGACAAATGTATGTTTACAATCAATTAAGGCAAAGTTGAGCAGTCGAAAAATGATTGCGGTTATTGTCTTTATTGCAATTCTTCTTGACAATATGCTATTAACAGCTATCGGTGAGTGGTTGCCTTGAAGCCGGGTATTAAATTCTTTTCATATATTAACGATTATGAACGATTAAGTCAAATCCTACTTGCTGAATCGTTATGCAACTGGGAGGTCATGTGTCCAAAGTACATTAGGTGTGTACTGGAGATGAGTTCCTAACTAGGACTGGACAGCTGTCCAGTTCCATTAGTTTTCTAACCCTTGGTCAGAACTGAAACAGATCAAATCCTAGCGAACTAACTCTCGAAAATATAGAAAAGCATTTAATGCACTGTATGTCGATGGGTACTGAAGATTGTTCCATTGTTATATTTGAAGGTTGAGTGCTTGGAGGCATTCTACAGAAGGTTTCGTCACTTAGGTTCTTTTAATGCTGGTGGTCATTAGAAAGACGTGTCTACAACATCGAAAAATAAAATGTTGCCTTCAACTATGAGATTTTAACCGGAGACACTCATCAATTCAGTCAGTGGTGTTACCATTGGCTGTCTTGGATACGCTGTCAACGGAGCGCCAGAATTGCATTATTCAACTCCTTAGTTTTGGTGTCTTAATTAATTCTATGCAGCTAATAGCATAATAATTGAAAATGTGAAGCCAATATATCTGTCTATCTAAGCCCTTTGAACATACGAAAAATGATGTCACATCCCACTGTATTTACCAGTTTGAATGTACATGCAGACACACATACATACGGAGGACTCATCGATCTCTGCAAGTAAGGCCTGGCTCCAGAAACAAATGGAATCTTCAGAACCCATTAATGGTGAGAACAGGACAGGCAGGTCCTCTATTGTGAAACATATTATGCAGACAGGACATAAAGTTAATGTTTACACACGTCTCTTAAACCTATCTATAAAACCTATTCAGGGTAGGATGTACCGTAAAGTTTTTGGAAGTTCTATTTGGCAATCAGAGAGTTTAAATCACCTTTATGCATTCATCAAAAACAATTCATGATAACATGGAACTTTCCTTGGTGAACTTTGTTTTGATACTAGCCAGGGCAGATATACTATTACCTCTACTATTTGGTTAAGTGGTTTTCATTGTTATTTAAAAACCTTCAATGTGTCCTTTTAACTTGACCTAACTTGTCTATTTTCTCACCTCATAACTCCTAATTGATTTCATACATATTCCTATGACAAGTTCGTGTGTGATCAAATTGTCCGAAATATGTTGTGCGCGCAAATACATTACACGATTCAGACAGACAATTTACGTCTTCTTATTGTTTTATCTTAATTCTATGAGTCAACTTTACGATATGCTCGCCAAGCCATGTGACTGACAACACTAGTTCACTTTTAGATGGTTAAAGTCAATCAGCAGGAATATCTAGTCCTAGGATATATGTTAATATTTGAAATGCTTTGAAATATTTTCAGCTTAGAGGAGCAGTCTGCATAGGTGGCATCAATTCCCCTGAAAGTAGTCTAATGATAATATAATTTGAATTGATTGGACAAATCAGTCGACGGAAAAATCTAAAATTAAATTAACATGACCCGTTGCACAAGAGGTGGCTGTCGTGGCACAAGTGGTCTAGTGGATAACGTTTTGGCGTTTGAAACTTTGGGCACTTGGTTGGAGCCTTGTTGGGAATATCATCACTCATTGGGAAATGTAGGTACATCCAGATGACGAGTCTCAACTAGGACAAAATGCGCAGCCTGGATGCCAGTATATTCCAACTAAACTGGAAGGATAATACTTTTTCGAAGGTAATTGGATAACTTATTTTAACACTGTGATGAAAAGTTTAAGGCAACCATTTGAGTAAATCTCACGCTTTCAAGGCTGAATTTCACCTTCAAATTTAAACTTCAGTACTTAATAGTGAATAAATTAAGAATTACACAGGCAATTTTCATTTCAATCGTTATTTGGATGAAATGCATCCTAAATGCTTTGTGGACAACCTTGTAGTGTCAGAAGTCACGTATGGAGGGTTCGAGCTTCAGTGGAATCCCCAACTAACAAAGCCAAACTAATGATAATAATGTCAGCCTTATTCTATGAACTGTGTTTACATACAAAACAGACAGATTGATGCAGTAGCAGTGGGCTCCCGATTGGGTTCCATATTAGAAGATTCTTTTGTAAGTAAACTGGAAAATGGTCTGTTGAGCGACCTTACCAGAAAATTCTCATTTTGTTGCCGGTATATGAAAGAAACCTTCATACTTTGTGCAATTGATTTGGACAGGAAGTCACAAATATCTCATTTCGATGAAGTATATACATTAATCAAATTCACATGTGTTAAGGAATCCCTATGTAAAACTGCCTTTTCAGACGTTTTGCTGGTAAGAATACCGGATGGTTGCATAAAAAAGAGGATGTATATTTAAAGGTACACGTCAATATACACATTTTCATAGCTTGTTCCTCCTCAATATATTAAAGACCGCCAGCTATAGGATCAGAGCAGCTAGTTAAGAAGATGAGACTGAAGACAAACTTAAGCTTTTATACGGCGTTTTAATTGAGGAACGGCTACCCTGCAAGTGTCGTCTCTAAACACATGGCCAATGGAGTAGAAAATAATGTCTCAGTATTTGTTAACAAGAAGCCTCTATGTTTATACGACTGCAATTAAAAACTGACGTACCGAGTGAAATAACAACCAACAAGTTGAGAAAACTGCTTCAAAGAATGTGTAATTCCGGAAGGCTAGAGCTTAAATTTTCTATACGATCACTGCATGTTATTCCTCATCTGAAAGATGGAGTACCAAGGCTAGTAAGCTACCTCAAATTGTATCTGTAACTTCAACTGATCTCCTGTGAAGCCAGTTGTATTGGCTGTCGGTTTTTCTAGGATTCTAATTTTCTCATAATTCGCAACAACTACCAGTGTGGTTTAATAGGGATGTAGTTGAAACCGTCAACAGTTCCATATTGCATGGTTCACTTCATTCAAACTGACCACAGGAATCTTTCTGTACGATCTACTGTTTATCGAACAGATTGACAAAGGCGTCTAGATATCTGACATTGCAAACAGCAGGGGTCGTTGGAATTGGCTTAATTCAACTCGAGCTCTGCATGCAAAAGAAACAGATCCAGTCACTAATGCTTTTGTGGTCTGCTGTCAAGCCTATAAATTCATAAATTCCTTGTTGCTCACCTTAGTTTATCCGATGTTTGGTTCAGTGTTACAATAAGAATTGTATACAAACACTATTCAAGAGGGCCAGCCAGAACTCATCGCAGTATTCCACCCTAAAGAAAGACCTCTTCTGAACAAACAGACTTCCAACTAGTTAGCTAGATACATTGTTCACGTACTATATGCACTAACTAACTAACTAACTAACTAACTAACTAACTAACTAACTAACTAACTAACTAACTAACTAACTAACTAACTAACTAACTAACTAACTAACTAACTAACTAACTAACTAACTAACTAACTAACTAACTAACTAACTAACTAACTAACTAACTAACTAACTAACTAACTAACTAACTAACTAACTAACTAACTAACTAACTAACTAACTAACTAACTAACTAACTAACTAACTAACTAACTAACTAACTAGCTACCTAACTAATTAACTAACTAGCTACCTAACTAACTAACTAACTAACTAACTAACTAACTACCTAACTAATTAACTAACTAACTAACTAACTAACTAACTAACTAGCTACCTAACTAACTAACTAACTAACTAGCTACCTAACTAATTAACTAACTAACTAACTAACTAACTAACTGACTAACTAGCTACCTAACTAATTAACTAACTAACTACCTACCTAACTAACTAACTGATTTAGAAAAGTTTTTATTCGTTTGCATTATTTCATCTTAAAAGTTTAACTGACATTCCTACGTGGGAAATTCACTAAATAATTTTTCTCTCTGGTTTTCTGTTTCAGTCCCAATTGCTCCAAAAATACTGGCTCTGGGTCATAAAGATGAAGGTATTCCAGAAAAAGGTATGCATGATTGTAAACTAGACAATTCAACTTCAAAAGGTAATAAGTCATGAATGAATTATTTATTTTGTTGAATTGATTTGCTCTTTGTAAAATATCTAACAATAGTCTGTTTAAATTCTGCCTTAACCGAAATAAACGATAATCTTTTCTTGGTAGGAGAATATTCCATAGGCAATCAGTCCACCACTTCAAATCAAAATGGGAATGATGAACATTTTGAAGACGAACATATTCAACTTGGTTTACTGTTCTCCACGAAACCACTTGTTCAGTTATTATGTAATCCATTCATTGGTCCAATCACAAATAGGTAGGCTCTTGAATGCTTTATTATAATAATAATAATAGTAATACTCTATGTAACGCTAATATTAGGTGCCTCGTATTGTTTGATACCATATAGTGGGGATTCAGATATTTGCAGCTTGAAGCCATATATTCCAGTCGAAGTTTAAGGAATGAATAACTTAAGTGCTGACACAGTATTTTACGTTCATATACACAAGTTGAATACTGTCAACTGGGGAATATTATTGAATCTACAAACATACTTTGTTCATTATGAGAGCCAAGAGATGTGCCGCACAAAATCTCATAGTTAGTGAGAAGCCTGGAGTACTATCAAGACGCTCAGGCTGATGTACATAGTCGTTCTTAAGGGACTATCTCCTACTAAAGATTTGACTTAAATTCTGGTCGTGCCTCGGTAGCACAGCGGTTAGGATGCTCGATGAACATGCACACAATCTGGGTTTTGATCCCTGGCCGACGCACGCCTGATATCAGTGGTCGGCAAGCTGAATTTGAACTACAGAAATCCCGTTATGAAAATTCAATACTTGTACCAAAATACTTTGTGGAACTAAGCTATAAAAAATAAAGATAATTTGATCCTTTCGGATTCTACAGCCAGTGTTTACTGTTGGCTTGGGATCAAGGTTTCATTAGTTCCTTTAAGTGGACCAGCTTTTCCATCAGATTGTTTGTAGGAGCTAGAGTTTCTCACTGGCACGCCTGCTGCGCATGGAGATGGTGGTAAATAGGAATTATCTGGCAGATATCAAGAATGAGCGCCTGAAACCTACCCATCCTCCGCCATAACAGGCCGTTTATCAGAGGCAAGAGGTAACACTCCTACTAATAAATAATCTGTTTATCAAGCAGAACTTTCAAATGATGAAAGACGTGTGAAAAGATCCTCAGATAAAATATCTGCTGCTTGTGTTCATTGGTATACCCACACACAGTGTTTCAAGCTTATCGGTACTCATCAGAAATATGCATCGAGAACCTGTAGGAGGCCAATATCCATTTCGGGACCCGAATACTTTGAACATTTCACTGGCAGGAGGTAAGTTTCACAGGGACCTTAGGTGCACAAAAATCTACAGTTGAAGTACTGAGAGATGTTAAGTTTCGAAGTTCCCCAGGGTTTCATTCTGAAGAGTCTCAAGCCAGGGGAAGACATCTGATGTTTATGTCATGATTTTCAAAGATCCTCCAAGAAACATTGTCTCGTGACGAAACTACTCAAAATCATAAGAAAATAGAAAGTCTTCATATTATTGCTGATATTCTTATTGAGCAGATTTGAGAACTGGGACAAGTACCCACCAATTTATGTTGCTTAATATTTCTTAGTGTCTGCTTGCTTGCGTACTCACCGACAACGCCACATGTAGTCCAGGGTTCAACTTCGACTGCCGCATCCCTAGAAACGTTGCTTAACCAGTAAAAAAATCCAGTAAACAGGTAAGGCGGGGTGTGAAGCTAGTGACTACGTCGCGTAAAAAATAAAACCCATGCTTAAAGCCCTTCGCTACACTCGGAAAGCAACGACATTAAATGAATATATAAAATAATAGACTGAATTTCGTTCATTTATGACGCTGTTTCCTTGAAAAACATGGCGATTTTAAGTCTGGTTTTAATAGCACTGACTTGTAATCTATAATTTGACGTTAAATTACAATGCCTCATTTACAACAGACTGTGTAGTCGGTCTTACTTAATCTGTGAGGATTATCCCATAAGAGTCGACACGTACACACACTTTGTCGACAATTACTTTGAGTCTAAGTTGTTATATGCTGTACATCATGGAAAAGGCAAATAATATAGTTTGATTTATGTTTGATGTGTGTTCATTAATTTGATTGCTTTAAAGACTGGTGACGAGTAGACTACAGTTATAGAGCAATCGAAAACCATGGAGTACGGGATAGGCTCAATTCTCTGGTAGGTTCATAAGTGAGGAGTGCTCAGGACTATCAAATAAAGAAGAATCAACTACCCAATTCTCCCTGGTTTCTGAAGGTGATTCTCTAACTTAAGTTGTTCGATGGTCAGTTGACTAATGTCTGTTCAAATGTTCAGCAAGGCGTCACCTATCCTTGAACTACTCAGTTACATCTGACTGAAAAGAACAAGAATTCCAGCAAAGATGACGATCTTTTCAGCGATTTCATTCTCAAAGGCTGTACACTCGCATTAATATACATTCGTTTACATGATAACAGTTATTATTTACTGAATTCCACATAATAAAGAAAATGATGACAATTTTCAACTCGATATGAAAGTTTAAAGGTACAAATATAGAATACAAGGGACTTAGAGACAAGACTGCATAGAAGGCTTGGAAAAGGCTTACAACGTTTGCAAAATTAATATTTGATAACTGGAGAAATAATCATTTTAAAGGCAAATAAAAGGTGATAATTATTTTGCAACCTGATATGAGCTGCAGTAGGCTTAGAGACGAAAGTTACACAAGGATAGAATGAATTGCAGGTGTGAACAAAATGAGCATGGAAATAAATTGAAATGGTAATTTTCAACGTGAAATGTAAGTTAGGAGGTAGGAATATAAATTACAACAGGCATAGAAACACAAAAAATTACACAGGATTTGTAGCGATGACTGCCTAGAAGATGAGCTCCTATTTCCCAAAAGCATCCTGGTTCAAAATGGATACCCACCGCGTTTCGTGGAGAAGAATATGAAACCAAGGCCAAAAAGAGAAGAATACGCTTCAGTGCAAAAGAAAACATTTTATCTGAATCTAGGATTCAGGGGAGACCCAGCAGCAGATATCCTTTAAAGGAAAATCTTTACTTTCCTGAGGACGACTTTTCTTGCAGCAACTCTAAGAGTGATATTCTCTAGCCGCCCACTAATTCTGAGCAACGGGAAGGATAGACTTCCGCATATGACCACTTCAATGTGCATATATCAGTTCACCTGCTCTTGCGGAGCTAGGTACAAATGTCGTTCTATGCAGGTCTTATCAAAACGTGTTAGAGAACATCATCCAGCATAACTTCAAAGAGGAGGCACTGGTCCAATCAAAAGCGCAATAACTTAACACCTCGTCAATACCTGTCACACAATCTCAGCTGACTCATCATTCAGAGTCACTTACAAAGTAAACAAAAAATCAGTCAAAGGCAGTGTGTTTCCGACTTCTTTGTACTGCAAAAGCTCTCGCCATAGGCATTGAAAAGCCGGAGCTGTCTTTTCAAAAGAAACTAGTCCAGCCTTTACAACTACCGTGGATCTAGTTCGGTATGTCCCTCTCTCTTTGTCTTCACTCAATTCATCCCATTTTTTCAGTTATAAAATCAGTTATTTTAAGTTTGTTTCCATGCTCCTCCTGATCACATCTGTAATCCGTGTAAAAAAAACCATTTTTTCATTACAGCTTGATCCCACACTGTATTTTTAGTACTAGTATGGAATTTTCAGCATGTGGTATCGGTAGCCCAAATTTTGCAGGTTGACCATAGATATCAGGTGTGCGTCGGCAGCGGATCGAAACTCGGATCATGTGCATAGTCGGCGGGAGTCCTAACCACTGTGCCACAGTTATATTCTAAATTATATTCCTACCTCCTAACTTACATTTCACGTTGAAAATTACCATTTCAATTTATTTCCATGCTCATTTTGTTCACACCTGCAATTCATTCTATCCTTGTGTAACTTTCGTCTCTAAGCCTACTGTAGCTCATATCAGGTTGAAAATAATTATCACCTTTTATTTGCCTTTAAAATGATTATTTCTCCAGTTATCAAATATTAATTTTGCAAACGTTGTAAGCCTTTTCCAAGCCTTCTATGCAGTCTTGTCTCTAAGTCCCTTGTATTCTATATTTGTACCTTTAAACTTTCATATCGAGTTGAAAATTGTCATCATTTTCGTTATTATATGGAATTCAGCAAATAATAACTGTTATCATGTAAACTAATGTATATAAATGCGAGTGTACAGCCTTTGCGAATGAAATCGCTGAAAAGATCGTCATCTTTGCTGAAATTCTTGTTCTTTTCAATGAGTTACATCTTACTGATGAGTAGAAAGGAGCAGGGCAGTTAACTCACTTAAGGTCTCCTATTACCTTAAATTTTTTTTACTTCATTTGTGGGGTTGCTTTACCATTTTTTTCTCTGTCCTGTGTTTTTTTTATATTTCGATAACAGAATTGGATACAGTGTACCCATGTTTACGGGATTCATCATTATGTTTGTCGCAACAGTATGTGAGTTGGTCAGATATTCATATTTCCTTACAAAAATTTTGAGCAGAGTTATTAATATTTTTTGGGTTGCTAGTGAAACATAGAGCTTCGGCTGTATATCTTTGTTTCATTTTGTCCCCCTCTGCATTCCCTTTAAAGTGGTGACATAAGCTTTAATTCCTGCTTCATATGATCTCCTCTGTGCCACCCCTGAATTGACTCCCAGTTTGGCATTTGCCATTGTTGCAGTGTCATTGAGTATTAGGGAGAAATGGGCTAGAAATTCTTAAAGCAACGACGAACTTCTCAGCTTACACATAGAACTTTGAATCATCACATGGACTGTAGAGCATCAGAGCATGTGCTAACAGAATATCTTAATAGTCAAAGTGATGTGCATTTATGGTCAAATGCAGACAGCTTACATTGAAATCTCCACCTACACATGTTTTCCATATCACACTTCTTCTGTCTTTCTTTCATGCTTTCTGTGTTTTCTCCTCCTAAATTTCGCGAATGATTTATGTTTGATGTCACTGTCACAAAATCGAAGACTTACAAGGGAAAACCGACAAACTGGTCGAAGAAGCAGACAGTGAAGACAGGACTCCAGGTGAACATAGAGAAGACGGAGGTTATGAAAATAATTAACCAACAACAACAACAGCAGCAACAGCGCCAATCACCATCAGCGGGAGGTATTTGAAAGAGGTTACTTCATTCACTCACTTACCTAGGGAGCATTGTCTCAACTACAGGCAGTAGTCGGAACGGACGAGGATGTCAAATCGAGCGAGAATCGGGTGGTGGGCGAGAAACACATTCATCAACCAACTGAAACCAATCTGGAAATCTTTGTCACTCAGCCAGCATCAACAACAAAATTCGGTCGAATTTTCACTACAAACGTCAAGTCAGTTAGTTCTTATATACGGATCAGAAACTTGGCGGGTGGGTTACAAAGAATATTTCCGGCAGCCTGTTGCAGACCTTTATCAACAACTGTCTTCGATCTATACTGAAGAACAGATGGCCGGGTCGGAAAGAATCACCAACAAGAAACTATGGGAAGAATCAAAACAAGAGCCAGTCGCTCTCCCAACAAATATGCAGGAGAAACTGGAGACAGATTGAACACTCGCCGAGGAGGCCGCTGAGTGACACCGCGCGTCGGGCCATTGCTCGAGTGGACCCCGAAAGGGAACGTTCAAGAGGGACATGGAGGAGAGCGTGTGAACAGGAGTTGAAATAGTATGGACCGACTAACATGGATGCAGGTGAAAAGTACAGCAGAAGACAGAAGTGGCAAATGGAGACGTGCAGTTGAAGCCCTATGTTCCACTAGGAACACAAGGGAACAATATTAATAATGTTGTCTCCCGCAAGGATCTTTTATTTCTCCTCTCCATCGTTCGCTCCGTCACACCATTATTCGAGATTTTTGTAGGAGACACAACAAGCAATGTGCTACTTACAAATCTCTATCAGTAGCACATGCTACGTGAAGATTAAGTGTATGACGACTGTTGTATATTAAACTATCCATGTGTCTCGTTTTCTTAATGTTTTGTAGAATTACTTCCTGAATAAAACTCTTCCCATTTCAGACTGTTCTCCATCTGATATACAACCGAAACCTCATTTCAGTTTGTGATAACTTTGCATTAATATAAGCTTATATATGTTTTTAAAGGGAAATGATCTTTGTAAAAGCATTACCCTTTCTGTTTCTGCTTTCCTCTCTTTCAGTTTTTGCTTTCAGTGAACATTATTACTTATTGTTGGTTGCTAGAGCTATTCAAGGAATTGGTTCAGCTTGTTCCAGTGTAGCAGGTTAGTAGAAACAGATGGACATAAAGTATTTTGTCTTACAGTGTCTTTCTCGAATTCTTTAAAAAATAAATATAAACTTTAAATGTTGCTGACTTATATGGGGATGTATGTCATTTAAGACAAAGCTGCTTATTAACATCGATAATATTCCTAATTCTGGTGGACTGGAATATACAGAAGACTGTGGACAGGGAGTGAGACGACAGTAATGCCCTGAACCACAGATAAGAAGATTCTAGAAGATCTGGACTTCGCGTGTGGATGATTTATATTGAATGTCTTATATTGTCCAATGACTATCTTTTCGGTGCTTGAAAATAGCTTGTATTATCTACCAGAATAAGACTTCCGCACGTTTCACTCACAAGTATCTTAGTAGACAATTAGATATGGGATAGACAGGTAGATTAAGGTAGGAAGTAATATGAAATTAGGATTTGCCAAACAAAGATTGTTTCAGCAAGCGATAAGTCCTGTGAAGTTTAAATGCTTTGACACTTTTATAATTCCTGCCAAAGCAGTGTTAATTCCGTAAATGGTCTGATTGAAGAAAAGAGGGTGTTACACTCGAAAATCAAGGGAATAATCACATAAGAATAATGGAACAGATTGGAAACTTTTATTGAAAAGTTTTCATGCACTCTTTTCAAGAGAACTCATGTCTTACATTTTGACCTTTCCTATATATATGTATATGGAACATTTCTGCTAACTTTTTAACTCTATTTGTCTTTTGCAGGCATGGGAATGTTGGCAACTGCTTTCACTGATGACAAAGAAAGGGGTCGTGCCTTCGCTTTCGCTTTAAGCGGTTTGGCTTTAGGCGTAATGAGTAAGTAAAGTCATTACAAAGTTGTTGTATTGATTTTTTAATTTCAACAGTTTATCGACCTCCTTCAATCAACTTACATTGTTTTAGTGTGCACCGCAATGGTGAGTAACCTAGCTTTGGAGACTAAGTTGCAGAACTCACTATTGGAATTCGGTCTGCACCTACACCGAGGACTAGTCAGATGAAGTTTTTCACCACATATCGTTCAGTCAAAGTATCCATCACAGTCCTACAACAGATAAATCACTAGCCCGAATAGCTTAGTGGTAAGATCTTCGACTGAAGCACTGGGTGGCCTGTACTTGAATTTCAAAGGGGACGTGAAGTCCGTTTAGATTACAGAGGTGCTCTGGTCATTGATGAATTCAACCAAGCACAAAATTTAGCTCCAAGTCTTCTTGCTGATCGCCCCAACCATCCAACAATTTTAACCAAACAAAAAATGTGAATATCAATTTCCAACTTTCTAATATCTGTAAGACGGGGGATGTTCTGAAGTTTGACATAACAAGTCGTGCATGGTGGGGTCACGATTTGCCAGTCATAAGCCATAGCACTATTCTGCAAAAACTAAAAGATACTGTAATTCACAAACGTTCGGATTCCATCGATGGATGGTGGACAGGCTTGATCCATTCCTTCGTCTCAAACTAGGACGAAACAGATATCTGCTGCCTCCTTGCTTTGAATGGTTCTCTGAATGATAACACTAATATTCATCCCAATCCTTACAAGTCAGAATTTTTATGTCGTCTCAAACATATTTATTTTACTGTATGATTAACAATAGGCTCATTCACCTCGCGACTAAATGACGCTGCTATATACACATTAAAGTATTATATTGCATTACTGTTGTTCTATTGGGTTCCAAGTGGAACATAGATGTTCAGTAACAAATCTCTGCTCTTTCCTATTTTCTGCGATCCTCTTTGACTTGCCTCATGATTGTCATTAGACTCTCATCTCCTCCCCGCATGATCGTATCCACGTCATTGACGAAGCGATGACCTGGCACATGATGTCATTCAACGATCTCTAAGGAGTGTGTTCAATCTATCTTCATTTTCTTCGAAGTAATTTTTGAGCCATAGGGTCTTGGGTAGTTTGTTGCATAGTTTCTTGCTAATTATTTCTAACTGGTCATCTGATCTTAATTATGGAGTCTGTGAAGTCATCCATTGATAAAGGTCTGCAGCAGACTGTTCAAAATGCTTCCCGTGAGGCCACTGACAAGATTTTAACCCATATAGAAACGGTCCTTTGTTCTTATATTGGGTGCCGAAGAATTTCTAACTGACTTCAGAGTGGTCAATTTCCGCATTGACTGTTCGATTCCGGCTTTGATATCCTCATCTATCCCACTCGTAGTTGTGACGATGTTTCTTAGGTAAATAAGTGAAGGACGCAACCTCCGTCAAATAATAATAATAATAATAATCTAATTTATTCCATAAACAGTACTTACAATACAGAATGAAATTCTCAACATTTATCACAATATTGCATCTGACTTACCCAAAATATAAATATAATAAAAAAATAAAATTAATCAGAGGATTTCGTCTACATTTACGGTATAAAGTCAAAAATATTCGAAATACAAAATGAGAATAATGAATACAATAATAATAACAGTTTCACTACTCTCGAATCTGTGTGGAGGTCAACAGCACTCATCATCAAAAATAAGATCCGGATTTTCAACTCCAATGTAAAGTCAGTGCTAATATACGGATCAGAGACTTGGCGAGTCATAAAGAGCATCTCAAACAAACTTCAGACCTCCATTAACAGCTGTCTTCGCTTAATACTACTCAAGATCAGATGGCCGGTCAGAAAAGATCAGCAACAGGGATCTCTGGGAGCGAACCAATCAGGAACCGATTGTGAAACAAATAGGCAGAAAGAAATGGAGATGGATTGGCTGGTCATACTCTGAGGAAACCATCAAGTGACATCACTAGACAAGCCCTCGAGTGGAACCCAAAAGGGAGGCGGCGAGTTGGTCGTCAGTGCAAGGGTGACTTGGAGGAGGTCATGCGAGGAGGAGATGAAAGCATGTGGACAGACCTGGAGTGGGGTGAAAACGTTGTCAGAAAACCGAAGGCAATGGAGGTGCGCAGCTGAAGCCCTATGTTCCTCTAGGAACTAAAGGATACAATAATAATAATAACAGTTTGTTTTAAACAGTATTGTCGATTCAGTTTGGAAAATTTTAGCATGTTATTATAGAGTATTGGATCTAATGTTCTGTTGATATAGTATAGTGAGGGGAAAGACAAAATTACCATCTATAACACAGCTTAAGTGATATTTCCTTTTTTGAGAAAATAAACAAATTAAAACAAAACATTCAGAGAATTGTAAATATAAGAAGAACTATAACAATACAGTTCGGTGGGGTAAGGATGGAAAAAATGGTTTACTTAGTAGCTCAAAGAAGGTTAATTAGTTGGTTAGTTGATGCCCGACAATATTTCCATCTCATAAAGTACGTGCTAAATATAGTATAGTGGAATTTTATACCTAGACGTACATGCATAAAGTCTTTTGATAAAATGACTTCTTGTTCTAATTGAGAAGGAGACACAAGGTTAGAGCTGTAGGTAAAGTGGATGCTCACTGTCTAACAAAATTCCTTTAAGCAAATTTGCTGCATGCAATCAAGTGCCTATCAGTAATGACGATGTCAACAATCAATATAGCCCAATGGGGTACCACCGCTAGCCCTATTGGCTGACAGTCTTCAGAGTTCTATGCAGTATGACATAATCATTTTTAAGCAATCCAGGAGAGAATAAGGGTGAAAAGTAAGGAAGAATAGGTAAGATGTACGAGTTGACAAACTGTAAGAGGAAGGGTTGAGTTATGCCTGAGTGTCTTAACTTCTTAATGTACAAAGTCGGACGAAACATTCTTTTGGAAATCACTAAGCCATGGGAAAACCAGAATAGGTCAGATGATAGCGACTGGTGCTGGTTGTTGTTGGTTGGTTGGTTGGTTATTTTCGTAAGTTCTGTCTTCTCTATGTTCACATGCAGTCCTGTCTTTACTGCTTCTCCTGTCAACTTGTGGATTCGCGATTGTGAATCCTCTGCGAAATCCAGATCTTCTAGAGTCTTCTCATAGATCCAACATATTCCTGTCTTCCCGCTACCCAAAGTCAGATACCTAATACCGTTTAACAACACATTTAGTGATATCAACAGTGATATGTAAGTTGATCAATAAAAGAATAAATCGATGAGAGAAATTCAAATAATCTCAACTATGCGCACTGTTTAACATCAAATATAACCATGATATGCTTTAGAAAACGACTGACATGTAATACCAAAATGTGCTGACAACACACGGTACCAACATATACCATCGAGGTTTAGCGGTTAATTATACTGCCAATTTGAGCTACAAGTTAAGATTTCTAAATCTCTCAAATAATTAAATTGATCTTTTGTGACACAGCAGATTTACTCAGAATTTGTTTGAGCTTTTGACTGTAAATATGAGAGACACGCGTGTACCAACTGATTAATATGTGATATATATATATGATGAAGACTTAACTGTCTTGCACGCTTCTACCATATGACTGATGATAAGACTTTGAGTAGTGTGAATGTAGCCGAATTCCGGAAGTGACTCACAAACAAATAAGCTGGTGTTCAGGCACTTATGTGTATGCGCACATGTGCTTTGATATGACTGTGTTATCTGGGCTACCTGGTCTAGCTGCGAAACTTCCATTCCCCTTCTAGAAAACATTTTCAAAGTAAAAGTCATTATGAAGTGATCTTATCTGAATTACCCATGAATGATAAAACTTTGATACCTGAAAAACACTGTCATGATGAATGGAATGAGCAATGTTGACAAGGTGTTTGATCATCATTTCACCGATTATCGAGCCATTACTACTTTTCTGCAGCAATGCAGGATGGTGTTCATGGAACCCTTTACACAGGGTGTTTATACGCGCCGAACGACTAATGTACCTCGTCAACTCAAATACACTTATTCAACCCCTTTCATCTGAGGTGGTGACGACTAGTGGTGTCCATCAGGGATGCCCATTATCCCAATTTCTATTCATTTTCATCAGAGATGTACTAATGGACTTAACCCTAACTCACTTCAGCGACTCAGGGATTCACCTGCTACCAGGGAATAATCTCGTTGACTTAGAATATGCAGACGATATAGTCCTTCTAAGCGAGGACGCTGACAAAATCCAGCAGAGCCTTCTGAACATCTTGAGCTGCAATCTTTTAATGTTTGGCGAAAATATTGTATGTAAAAATAAGACTGTATAGCTGCAGAAAACTAAATTCGCCGAAAACCTCCTGTCCTCTGAACTTTGTGTTTTGTTTTCATTAATGTACGAATGAAGATTATTCATGAAGTATGTTATCTCCATAATATTTCCAGGTTTTCAGTTTGATTAATGGTAGGAATGATGTTAACAGTCTCTGCATAGCGGCCTCAGCAATCAATCGTGATGTCGGTGATTCCATTGTTGTTTCATTTAGCATACTTGATCACTAAAACTAAGAGAATTAAGGGCGCCATCCGTCTGGAACAATGTATTTTGATGTGTTCTCTACTATAGAGTGGATACTGAATGATTGTTTTGGCACGGTTAAATCCAAATTGAAGTGTATAATCCTGTGACGTTAAAGGATATCATGATTTCACTGTCATATAGTTGAATTTTCCCTATATTTTGCAAAAGATAGGTTGGCGAATTGACTGATAGATTATATAATAGTGTTTTTGGAAGCGAAAGCATTGATTGTAGGGCAATATTTGGTTTGCATAGTTTTTAATTAAGTTAGAACATGCTCATTTGATATTATTTGTCATTGATCTTGTTTTTCCCATTTCTCTTGATTTGTTGAGTTTATTCAACCTCCTTCTGGTTTTGTAGTCCAATGTTTGGATATGGTTGTCGGCTGAATAGTCAACCCAATCGTCTGATAACCTTTATCCTAACTTCG